TCCGCCAGTGAAATCGCATTTGTGTTCGGAGCAGTACACACTAAGAAATATTAAGGTACAATTATTTTGCTACAATAGCAGCACCCTCTGCCAAATACTCGCAGGTGCATGCAAATCTTCACCCCAATCGCATCCTTATTTCTTAGTGTGAATTATGTCCCATGTGTCCTCCGGAAATATCATTACCTTCCAGGAACATTGTACGAGTGTGAGAATTTGTATCCAAGCGGTCGATCAGTTCAAATTCCCTCAATTTCCCTCATTTTCCCCTGATATTATATTTCCCATAGTATTCTGGATAAACAATTCATAAATTAGTGGCGTAGACACTGCTTTTTTCGAGGAGGGGGGGGGGGGGGGCGGTCACATCAGCTTTTTCAGACCATATGGGTGGGGTTTATGTATTTATTTGCAACCTGCAAATCGATCGATTTCGTTTCTTTCTTTTTTGTACTGCTTAACAGTTTTCCAGAACAAGGGAGTAGCAATAAGCAAGGGCGGTGATCCGGAGGGACGGGGTGGGGGGGACACGCCCCCCCTCAATTTTGTTTAGGGTTCGTCCCCCCCCCAACAGTAAATTTGAAAAAGTGCAAAAAAGAAATGTTTAGCAAATACTGTCTACAGACTGTAGCACACTTTTAGGCTCTGGAGTCTGGAGGGCCCAAGAGCGCAGCGTTTACACTAATAAAAATGCGAAAAAATTCTCGCAAGGTCGCTACGCTCCTTCGCAAGTCTTTCTGTCACCTTCGCCCCTTTCGTTCACTATGCTCCCTCGTCCCTCGCATTTCGCCTCCCCGCACCCCCCCCCCCCCCCTGGTCATGAAAAGAAACGCCGCCCCTGGCAATAAGCCCATTTGCCCTACCCCTAAGTTTAATACATCTATATGTTATGTCCATATGCATTTTCTTACATAATTGATGGGCAAATGGGCAAATAAATTTGAAGGATGTTCATTTACATTAAAATGTCTTCTGGGAGGAGAGCTCAACCCGCCCAGATCATCCAATTCATAACCTGTTTACACAAACCAAACGGTAATAATATTAAAAGCAATAGTATACTTTAGTTTAGTTTTTTTTTCTTTATTTTCCCTTCTATTCTTCTCCATCCCAACCCCCTCGAAAAGCACCAATTCGAAACATCGACTGATGAACCATGCGTATATAGCTCGTACAAGCATTTTCAGAGAAGTTTACCAGCACACAGTGACCCTAATACCCTGAAGATATAATTTTGAAAATTCGAAAAAAGTGAAGTGACAAATGATTCGTAGTGGTGATGATTATATAAAAACTCACAAAAATTCAATTTTTTAAATATTTTTTTTTAGATGTAAATTATTGTAATTTGAGAAAACACGAAAAAATACTAATTTACATGACCATAGCAATATTGTAGTAAAAGACGTGTGGTCTCCTAATATTATACATAATAATCAATGAATATGAGAAAAACTGATTTCAAAAGATAAGGGGTGTTACCCCCTCCCCTTCCATGTACTTGCATCTACACCAGTCCAGAATGGAGCAAAATTTATTTGATTTGATTTGATCATTTGTTTTTATAAAAGTCATGTCACATAGATACAACGAATAAATATATCACTCACATCTATAGATGTACATTTTATTTTGGTATGATGAACTGTAACAAATATGAACATTGCTAACCGCGAGGGTAGCGAAATCTCTTTAAATACGCGATCTCCCCCTTACTGAATGTATCCTCTGGTGAAGTTAATGAATATAAACAACATCATTGCAACGTAATTAGTTTTAAGAAACCACAATTATGGATTTATAGCACGTAGAGTTTTTCAAATACGTATGGTACTTTACTGCATGTATGTACCTTGTTTTGACGATACAGAACGTGACTAGATCCTTGCTACGCTCATCCGGTTTCGATGAAGAAAAAACGAATTCACAGATAAGAGTGTACTAATTACGTCATGACGTCATATTGATAGACTGATTGAGAATCTGTTGATATTGTCATGGTAATGCACATCGGATGTGTACATGTGTTGTCAATGTATTGTGAATGAAACAGTTGTCAGGCTTATTAATTGATTTGTTTATATTTTACTTAAACCATTTGCTACGTTTGAAGGATTCTGAAGATCTACTTTCTTTTTTGTTTTCTCTTTTCCTCAAGCGAGGTTTTTATTTCTATCATTTCAATACATATTTACATTAATCACAATGATTGAATGACAAAAACATTGGCTAATAAAAGTATATTAAAAAATTCTTCCAGCTTAGTATCATTTTCTTTGCTAACACTTCTATACCTTAAAAACAATCTGTTTAACGAATTGAATTTTAAAAAAAAGAATGCGGGTAAATAACAGAGCCATTGCGCATAATTTAAAGTAATATTTAGGAGATATTTCTTGTTTCCTATGTTCTTTCTACTTCCATGCTTGTTCACTAAAATGTAGATCTGACAATATAAATGGAAATTTACTGTTCAAAGCTTTGTTTTTCAGAGTCTTGTAGTTGATTTTAATGCTCGGTCTGTTTTCACATGAAAAATGCTCTCTCAATCAAGTAGCAGTTCTAGGGTTGTTTTTAGTGTTTGTTATTGTTTGTTATAAAAAAAAAAATCAATCAATCAATCTGGAACCACTCTTTTCCTCGTTTTGATTTCCCTTATACACTGCACTCCCCTAGCTCTTTCTCTACCCCTCTGTTAGTCTCTCTCCACAGGTCTGTCTATCATTTTCCATTAAATCTTCCTCTCTCTCTCATTCTCTTGCTCCATCTCTCTCTCTCATTCTCTCTCTCTCTCATTCTCTTGCTCCATCTCTCTCTCTCTCTCGCACTATCTCTCTGTATCTCATTCTCTCTCTCTCTCTCTCTGTATCTCATCCTCTCTCGCTCTATCTCTCTGTATCTCATTCTCTCTCTCTCTCTCTCTCTCGCTCCATCTCTCTGTATCTCATTCTCTCTCTCTCTCTCTCTCTGTATCTCATTCTCTTTCGCTCTATCTCTCTGTATCTCATTCTCTCTCTCTCTCTCTCTGTTTCTCATTCTCGCTCTATCTCTCTGTATCTCATTCTCTCTCTCTCTTGCTCTATCTCTCTGTTTCTCATTCTCGCTCTATCTCTCTGTATCTCATTCTCTCTCTCTCTCTCTCTCTCTCTATCTCTCTGTTTCTCATTCTCGCTCTCTCTCTCTCATTCTCCTGCTCCATCTCTCTGTATCTCACTCTCTCTCCCTCTCTCTCTCTGTATCTCATTCTCTCTCTGTCTCTCTCTCTTGGATCGCCCTCAGTTCTCGATAACACAAGATGAACGACAGCCATGAGCATTCAATGATTTGCTTACAAAATATTTTATTATTTTGTACAATATGACAATCATCATGACTTTTACAAAATCTATTTACACAGCATTCTCCATAATGAATATAGCATCCACATAAAGTGATATTTAAAAAAGTACAGAGAAAAAGAGTGGCAAGTTTTCTCCCATAACTGTAGACCTACATCACTCTAATATTTCCAACAATTTTTGTTTTATAGTATTTTTGAAAAGTCTTGTTAGTATGTCGTACCTGTTATGTACGTGAAGATTAAGAGAATGTATTTATCATGATAACAAAAAAACGTGTTAAAAGATGAAGGTTAAAAGAAGCAGTTTGAAAATAAATGAACATGATTTAAAGTTAAATTAAATTAACAGAAAAACAATGAATAAAACCCCTTCTCTTGACAAATTCAGAGACTAACAAAAAATTGTTTCAAAGGTTTGGTGTTAAATAATATATTGCATATCTAAAACAGAACTAGATTTTTTATTTAAGAGATTTAAAAAACGGGTCTTTCCATCTGGTGAAAATTATAAAAATACTGTTACAGTTGATAAAAAAAAGTTGCTACTAAAAAGTCTGGATAGCTAAAATTCAGCACAAGATTTTCAATAACCTTTTCTGAGTGTGTTTCTGTAGTTCTAAACCATTGATTAAAATGCCAATTTGAAACATAACTCAGTGGTATGTTTTCCTCATGCGTTGCAACTCCTTCTCTAACATGAAATGACACATGGAGAACTTACTCTCTGTAATAGTTATTTTGTTTGATCAAAACATGCCATTATCAATGGCTGCTCATTAAAATCTAAATTGGAATGATTGCTTCTAAAAATACAATGACCAATCAATAACATACTTACATCATGCTAAATATGTGTACCGTAAGTTGAAATGACTTTGGAATAAAATGGGAGATAATAAATAAAAATTCTGCATGTTTTTTTTTACATTACAATGCCGATCGAGTACGCATTGGCAGTATCATAACTAATATTATTATTATCATTAATTCATTTTTTGTTTTACTACCGGTGTGTTTCTAGCAGTAGAAACTTTGAGACTGCACTAAAGCCACTAATTATCACATCCTGGCCATTTGTATATTGTATGATATTCAATGTTGAGACATCTGGGGGGTGTTTCATAAAGAGTTCGTAAAGTTACGCATGACTTTACGAACGACTTGTCAGATAGGATGCCCAAAGTTTTTTCTGATATTTCCAATAACCTCAATTACATTATGGCAAAAATGATTCTTTGCATTAAAAATGTTTGTTATAATAAGAATGTTAATCTACATCTGCACAGTAAAGACCAGTATTGGAAACGCCCCAATTTCAAAAAATGAAATGGAAGCTCTCATTACCAATCATGTGAAAGAATATGTTTTGACTAATACATGATGATAACAAATTTACCGGGAAACCGCCTACTAATTCATATATTTGGTAAATTTGTTTCTCTCTTGGTCTGTGAGAGATATAGGGTAGTCCCATATACATCTTTCTGTGTATAGTGCTTGTAACTTTACGAAGAATGGGCCAAATTTCCTATCATTTTGATGATTCCAGAACCTTGCAGATGCTAGATGCTAGATGATCAACCTTTTCTGATCGATTCCACAATGTTTCTTTCACAATGCAATCGCATGACCATAACTGGTCTTTACCTTTAATAAATAATAATCAATAATGATTGAGCATCCCATTTGGCTTTTCATATACAAGTCGTTCGTAAAGTCATGCGTAACTTTACAAACAGCTTTATGAAACACCCCCCTGGTAACTGTAGTAGTCTCTCATACACATTCCCTTCTTCTGTCTCTCTACAACACTCTCTCTTCCTCCTTCTTCTTCTTCTTCATCTCCATTAATCTATACTCTCACTTTCACTATTTACCTTTCTTCCTCTCATGTCTTATCCACATCAATGCCACTAAAAAACCTTGGGAATGCTTGTAGTTCTTGGCCCATCTTACAAATAGCTGCAGTTGTTTCAAATCAATGGTAATCTGATATCAAGCTCAACTCAGTACGCTACTAAAGAGATAAGAAATTGTAAGTTTGTGATCGCTAGGAGGACTTTCGATCAAACTTGTAATCAAACTTACAATCAAACTTGCGATCATACTTATGATCAATATATGCATCAATCGCAACTCTTTATAGGACATGGCCGCTGATTATTCAGAAATAGTCCAAATACAAGAGAATCAAAATCATCAATGACTATCATAGCACCACTATCAGCTGAATATGTCCTTCTTAATTAGAGAATATCAAAAGTCCAGGTATTCTTTTTGTTCATTGGAAGTTCAGCGAATGTTCTGTCGTCTGCTAATGCTGTTGCTAGGCAACTTGACCGAGTTGGAGCTCTTCTCCTTCTTTGACTTCGGGTCGACGGAGAAGCACTTCCAGAGCCGTAACGTTTCATCGGCCGCGGCAGAGACAACCGTTGTGCCGTCTGGGCTCATAGCCATGTGGAGGATGCGTGAGGTGTGCCCTGAAGAAAAGATTAAAAAAATCAAAGACAATCAAAATTAATGTTAAAGTTAAACAGAATGTGAGAGCTTTATCTTTAACATCAACATTATTAAAAAAACTGCTGCAGTTTAGTGCATCGTATGTGAGCGGACCTTTAAATTGCGTTGGCTGAAGACAGAGAAAATTCAGTGTTTTACAGATATCATTATCATGGTCATTGGATTCATTTCCACTCCCTGGGGAGTATTCCTACCCTATGGTCATCGCAAGGGCATATGGCAATTACTAGCACAATGCTTTTCGTCATCCTACCAGGTCCCCATTTCTCTCCTGGGTATGGATCGAGTGGCAATTGTTGATCAATGTCTTACCAAAGGAAATAAGTGCCGTGTCGGGGATCAAACCCACGTCCTTTGCATTTCAGGTAAAGTGCTTAAACCAATCGACTACAAAACTTCTACCACATATTTACTCCTGAGTGTGATTTTCCCAAATTACATTTTGTCATTTTCCCCAATGACATTTTGTCAATTGTAAAGTGAAACAGATTTTGTCAAAAATGCCAAAGTGTCATTGATAACAGTAATTTTTTGTCATTGAAAATATTTGTCACTGTGACAAATATTTTCTTTGTGAAATGCCCTTCTGGTTTGATCAAGTGAATTTTATGTTATCTTTCAAACATCTGTTTGCCAGCTGGTACTACTATTAACCAAAGTTTTTGAAAGCTTCAATAAATCGTACACACACACACACCATGCAATATGACGTTGCAAAACAGAAATAAGTCAATTACATTCACAGACAATATTTGACCCTTCCAAAGGAAATGATCAAGTTTGAATACAGGATGCTATTGGGCCATATATGTGTTCTAATGGGTAATTCAGTTGCCTTAATCTATTAACTTCCTCATACTACTAAAATGCCTATTATTGATGAGAAGAGCACTGATGCCGCATAGCTCTTAAACCCCTCACCCAATTGACCTAAAATTTGAGGTTAGGTGCTGTGAGTTTACACACTCACCAAGTGCACTAAGTTTCATCAAAATAAAAAATGGTTGAGTTAAAACCATTGGGTGATTCATTTGACATGGAATGACCCTGTTGCAGGACTCATTAACAGCACAATGAATAATATCAAATGCTTAAAAAGATTGAATAAGCTGTGTTTTTGCCTAAATATGTGGAATTGCATTTTGCATTAGATTTTTACACAACGGTACGTCCGATTTTTATAAATTAGGTGTCGAAAGATGTGCTAAACTTGAAAGAAAAACTTCACCAAGTTGCACGATGCAATGCGTAGCGGTTGCAAAATAATCAAAAACTAAGTTGTGGGGGGGGGGGGGGATCAGCCCCCTTCCCCTCTTCTCGGCCTGATTAGGTTTAAGTTAAAGCTTCATTTCAACTGCATGAATTGACTAAGCTAGTCTATGATGAGCACTTTTTGAAAGGAAAACAAATGCCTTTTGATATGTTTGTAGAGGCTGAATACTGAGGAGGAAACACTGACCACAATGATCAAACCCATAACCAAGTCATGGATCATGGTAAATTGGTCATGATCACTATTGTTCTTTGGTTATTTTTACCAATATACAATTCAATGTTGATTTTTTCCTCTTTCAAAGGTCAAATTGCAAACTTCAGTATTTATTCTATTTCTACTTTTTCTAGATATCTCTACATCACGAGTTCACTTCATAACGTGTGAAATTCAAATCCTGTATTTGTTCAAAGGTAGCGAGTTTGGGTAAAAATAACTGCACATCATAACAAAGGGATAACAAAAGTCTTAGTATTTCTTGTATGCTAGACATCACAAATAAAAAAAATATCTTGTGACATTCTTGATTAAAAATGAAACCCAACCAATGAAGAAACTAGATGGAACTTGACTGCGCGCAGTCGAAAATGATGCCTCCGTCATAGAGCAATTTTACAAACCAAAACAGAAGAAATTTTTCGAATTCAAGTTCAATTGTAATCCATTAACAGGTTCTCAGAATATTGTGATTACAAGCTATTTTTGCATACATAATGAGCCCATGACCTTTGACCTTATGAACCAAGAATCTACTCAGTTCATTGGCTCTGCAAGAAACATACATGACCTAAGTTGGCAGGAATCCATCAATCGGTTCTTGAGATAACGCGATCACGAGCTGTTTTTGCATACATAATGTGCCCTGTGGCCTTTGACCTTTGACCTTGTGACCCCTACATCTAATCAGTTCATCGGCTCTGCAAGTAACATACATGACCTAAGTTTGGCAGCAATCCATCAATCGGTTCTTCAGATAACGCGATCACGAGCTCGTTTTGCATACATAATGAGCCCTGTGACCTTTGACCTTTGACCTTGTGACCCCAAAATCTAATCAGCTCATCGGCTCTACAAGATACATACATGACCAAAGTTTGGCAGGAATCCATCAACCAGTTCTTCAGATAACGCGATCACGAGCTCGTTTTGCATACATTATGAGCCCTGTGACCTATGACCTTTGACCTCGTAACCCCAAAATCTAGTCAGTTCATCGGCTCTACAAGATACATACATGACCAAAGTTTGGCAGGAATCCATCAACCAGTTCTTCAGATAACGCGATCACGAGAACGGGACGTACGTACGTACAGACGTACGTACGGACGGACGGACAACCCGAAAACATAATGCCTCCGGCTACTTCGTAACGGAGGCATAAAAAAAGATAACACCAGCAGCAACAAGCCACCAACAAAGCTTTGGTATTCTTTGTCTGAATTTTCCTTTAGCTTTGTGCTTTTACTCAATAAAGTTTTCTGTAAACAGTTAATCGTGCTTCACCTTTTTTCAAGGTAAAGATCCGTGTTTCATTTCTCACTCACAGACAAAAAATGTAACCACAAATACAGAGGATTTTTTTTTTTAAGGAAAAAAAAAATCACTTCCTCATTACATTAAGAGCTGTATAGAATTTATTTACAAATATCATAATATAGAACAAGATTGCAAAGATTTTAAAGAAATCAACTATAGAGTCATTTCAATAGCCTACTGACTCATCTATTGCAATGTGTAATCCTTAGTCACCTGTATATAATCAGAACAAATTTGTTGAAACTTGAAAGAACATGTATATGGGTTTCGAGCATGTTACCAATTATTATCACAAATATTCAAGTTAACTCACCTAAGAGTTCTGCTATTCTGACCATGGTGGGGTACTTCCAGATAACCAGCTGGTTCTGAGCGAAACCATGGGCAGATATCAACTCCTTGTGCTCCTTAGACCACAAGAGGGCGCATACCTATAATAAGAGAAAGCAGACAGTTTTGAAGAGTCAGGAATTTCTGTTTGAACACAATCCACTGAAGAATTTTACCTGCCATATCAATGCAACATTTAGCAGAGTTATAGCGAAATCTGTCTATAGCAACTGCCCAAGGGAAACACAAAAAGTTGTATTTGTAGACAGGTTCCTTTAGTATATGTTTTAATGAGGAACCATTTACAAGGGAAACAACAAATGTGGTCTTTGTAGACAGGTGGTCACTAAAGCAGGTTTGACTGTATAAGAGAACTATCCTCTTTTCTCTTTTTTTTTTGCCTCTGAACATGAACTACCATATTGAGGCACTAATGTCCTTTGGCAAGACATTGATCTACAATTGACACACTCGACCCAGGTGAGGTAAGTGGGTACCTGGCAGGAATTAATTCCTTGAAATGCTCGAGCCCTGTAATGGCAGCTAGGCTAAAGCCGGGGTAATAATTAATGCGCCTCGGAATAGAATTTCTAGATAAACGGGGCTATAGAAATGCCTATAATAGAGTACCGAAGCTGTGACGTCATAAAAATCTATTTTTAGAATTTCTCAATTTTTTCTTCATTTTCCGAAATATTGAATATGTTAAAGTATTGGCTGAGATATGACCATCTGAATAAATATACTCCCCATAGGAACTCAGTGTTATATGCTCTGGCTCTAGGAGCCAGAGCATATAACACTGAGTTCCCATAGGACATATATTCATTCAAATGGTCATATCTCAGCCAATACTTAACATATTAAATTGGTTTTTGACATTTGGACATTATTTTTGGTGTTCTTTTGGAATATGAAGAAAAAATTGAGAAATTCTAAAAATAGATTTTTTATGACTTCACACTTCACCACTCTATACTTATTATTATTCTTCTTCATACCTGTGACTTGGTGTCCACACTATTGAGACAGGATCCAGTGTTGCTGTTCCAGAACCTGATGTGTCTATCGGCCGTCCCTCCTCCGCTGGCCAATACACTGGGTTGCCATGGGCACCATGCAAGAGCCTATCAAACAACAAAGCAAGAAGTGATTGATTGTTTGATTTCAAATTTATTTTATTTCATACCAATTGTTTGCACAATAAAGAACATAGTTAACAAAGTAAGTTCAAAATTATGAAATGAAACAGGAACCCACTGGAAAGCATACGGCAGCTTGTTTTTGTAGGTCCTCAAGAATAAATATAATATGAACATTATTTTCATAAATCATTTTAATAATGTTTACATGAATAAACAGATGTTACAAAGGTGCCTTCTATGTTTTACTATAAACAGTTGTTGTCATAAACAAATTATACATATCAGTTAAATAGTTTCATTTTAATGTATATCCGAGGGCATTCCACCTATAGCTACAATCAGAGATGCCAGTTAGAATAGATCAGAGGGCCTGAAAATCACAGAGATTGAGCTATTTTTTACACAAAAAAAGCCTAAACTATGGTCTGAAAGTAACTTGCCAGGGCCTGAATTCAGGCCATTGCCTGAAAAGTGGCATCTCTGTACAATATCCCGGATCATATACAACTTGCATTGCAGTGACTCTTCTTCCTACTTGGAAGGGAAAAATATAAAAAGTCTGGGGATGAATTGTCCTTAGCCTCTGTTTCTTTTTTTAAATGCATTCATCTATGTATTCATTATTTTTTATTTATTAATTTATGTATATTACATATTTATTCATTTTGTTGCATAAGAGATGCCATACCTTGACTGCAGCCTGGTGTTGGTTGAGTGTATAGATGGGTACGTTGCAGGGCGTGGCCGAGAACGTGGGCCAGATGTTGAGGAGGTTGTCGTTACCCCCGCTGGCCAGGTAGCGCCCATCGGGGGACCACTTGAGACCGCATACCTCTTGGGTGTGGCCGGCTAGGGTGCCAACGTGGTACGAAGCCACACGCACATCGTGGTGATGGATGTTACCGCTCCGTGAACCACTGATGGGGAAATAAACATGGTATTTTTTACGAAGGCTATGAATCCCTCGGTGGATAGCTTATCGAAGCAATAGCTCTAATGAACACATACTACAACAGGCATGTGTAGAAAGAGCAAATTTCTGCACATACCATCTATTTTTGATGCATGGCCAAGTTGTGTTTCGACACCAACAATTTTAAACTTAGGAAACTGATGATTGAAACACATTGAGAGCTGGGTTCAAACCAAACAAAAATCTATCAAATTGGCAATTTTCCAACTTTTTGACATACTGTAGTGTATATCCATGTAAAATGTTTTCAGATACAAAACATTTTATTAAAACAATGTAGCATTGAAAAGTAAAACAGACTATTAAAATATTTCAACACTTAAATGTCTGGAATGGTATGTTGAGCCAATTTATTGCTTTGTGATGATTTACATTCACCTAAAATGTAATTAAATTGTAATAATATAGTTGGGAGAATTAAGGAATCAATCAGATCAGTTTTTCCCAATTTGTATAATGATACAAATTGGGAAAAACTGATCTGATTAATGAATAATGGTCCATTTTCACATTATCTTTAATTGTACATCTAGCATTGAAGTCCCTACCTTAGCACCACTTTCTCTCATCTGAACAATATTACCAAGTCCCTTTAATATATGGATGTATCTTTTCATAACAGGGACTGCCTCGACAGAAGCTTACAGTTTTATTTGCAGTTTCCCCAATTCATTTCTATTGATGAACTTTCTGTAATGCTGGTATATTTGTAAACATGTTTCCATTTTGTGTGTGTTCTCTGTTTTTCTACATTGTATATAATCTGTATTCTATACTTTCATAAATGTGTTTCAATGGATTTGACTTGGAATAAATCTTAAACTTGAACCTTAAAAAATCCCTGTCATGAAGGAGTTAAATCAAATGCTTCTCAAGCCAAAATTAAAGATAAAGGTGAGTTCTGGTCATCCGATTGCATTGTGAAAGAAAAGGTGTGGAATGGATCAGAAAAAGGTTGATCATGTAGCATGTAAGTATTGGTGTGTACAGCAAAGTTCTGGAATCATCAAAATCATAATAAATTTGGCCCAGTCTTGGTAAAGTAACAAGCACTGTACACAGAAAGATGTATATGAGACTACACAAATGGTGTCGGGGCTACTAACCTTGATTTCCTAATCTTTCTATGCTCATTACACAGCCAGTATACATTTTCTACCAAAATTGTTTGGCAAATGACATTTATTTGTAATCTTGAACATTCAGTGTAAGTTTTGTTTGATTCTGTGAGAATTCATTTTCTTTTTTTTCCAGAACTCACCTTTATCTTTAAATGCTTTTGTTTGACTTACCTGCTGAGAATGTATGAATTCCATGAGAGGGATCCAACTCTAGCTGCATGTCCCTGCATACATCGTAGCCTCTTACCACTCTCTACATCCCAAAGCTGTGAGTGGGTCAACAAGAAAAGATGGAGAAACATTGTCTTTACTAAAAACATAATTCATCTTAGTTGTACAAATTCATGTACAGTCAAACCTGGTTTGGCGACCAACAGTCTACGAAGACCACATCTTTTGTTTCCCTTGAAAATGGTTTCTCATTGAAACTTGTACTAAAGGAACCTGTAAATAAAGACCACCTGTCTGTAAAGATCACTTTATTTGTCTCTCTTGGGTGGTCTTTATAGACAGGTTACAGTGTATATACACTAACTTCATGTAAATTACTTTTGCATGTGTTTCTCTAAACAAAATATCATATTTCATTCAAAATATCTCTTGTGGTCATTTACTATTTCGTCTACCCATCATGTTGTGCCATAAAAAAAAAAAATACAGGTATATTCTTTCTACTTTCCTCCATGCATCTTACTATATCAACAGTACATACTCTGTTTAACTTCTCCTTCCATTCATTTACATGTACTGTATATTGAATGAGAGTGGTTTAAGACGCTTGACTTGTAGATGCGAAGGTCGAGGGTTCGAATCCCGACACGGCACTAATATCCTTTGGCAAGATATTAACCTGCACTTGCTACTCTCCACCCAGGTGTTAAATGGGGACCCGGTAGGATGCGACTGTCATTGTTGGTCTAACAGTTTTTGAGCGTCATGTAACGCCTGGCTGGAATGCTTCCCAGGGAGTGCGGGCGAGCACTGAATCTAATGACCGGGCTAATAATATATTTGTAAAGCGCTTAGAGACATTTGTATTTTAAGCGCTATATAAAAATTAAATATTATTATTATTATTATTACACATTCTAAATCCCTGATGGTTGGGAGAATTTCCTGTTACATGGTGTTGCACAGTGACGCCTTCAAAGAAAACCATAAATATCTTTGTGATTTGAGAATTTGTTCAGGATTGTTTTTTGCATGTTAGAGGGTCTAGTACAGTAGAAGGAATATAATCAGTAAATTTCATACAAAAATTACAGTTTTTTTCCATCCACCTTCAACAATGTTACCTGTCCACTTTAAGCCACCTTACCTGTACATCTCCAGAGCTTGTTCCAACTGCCAAGTAGTTGCCTTCTGTGATCCAGCTGACTGAGGTGACGTAGTCCTCAGGGCCTTCCAGCTGCATGAGCTGCTTGATGTCCCCACTGGCAGCATTCCAAAGGTATACATTGTTGGCTAAGGCTACTGCAAGATGGTTGTGACAGCTCCAGTCAAGAAGGTTCAGATCTGTCGAAGAAGTAAGAAGGAAACATCTATGTACATGTTTGTGTAACACACATTTTTATTGTCCTAGGTTTGTACTCACTGTGTGCAATCAGTTTCTTATTTCTCATAGCAATTTTTTTTTTGCATGGAAGGAAAAACAATTTGCAAGGCCATTGAAAAAGAAAAAAGGAAAATGATAATAAAAGTAACAAGCTATTTTCAGAAACCACTTCACAGTGAATTCACACTTGTCAAAATATTTCACCATACTTGTATGATCTAATGATCTATTTCTTTAATCTTAAGTATGTTGAATATTAATTTAAATTATTTGTATGCGCCTTGAGCATCTCTAGAGATGGATATGTTGCGCTTTATAAATATTGTTATTATTATTATTATTATTACGTTTAGTCTATTGTCTATATATTTTTTCATTTTAATGCTAACTATCTCAACATATTTGAAGAATACATAAATGATTGCTATTAAAAAATAATTCATGAGTGCTACATCTTGAGGTTGGGATGAGGCATGCAGCTATAACTCACAACAACATCATCCTCATACTTACAGTAGTCATCCAGCATATCTGGGGCATCTAGAATACGTTCTGGTTGCTGGGGTATGTGTCTGATAGGCTTCTTGGTAGAACCAGGCGTCTTGTTGTGAGAGTACATCACCTTCAAGTTGTTCTGATAACCTGAGGGAAAATGATGATAACGAAACGAAAAATAAACATTTATTAAAGGGATCCGGTAACTTTGTCTCAGATTCTGAAACAAAATTCTGGATTAAGCTAATGCTGCAATGATAATTATAAACCTTTAGGTCAGTCAGGAAGCCCATGACTTTTACAAGCCCATCGCCTGTCTTATTATCAAGATATTTATGATTGAAATTACAAATTTTGAAAACCGTTTGCCAAACGGTTTTCATAAAACTACGGTCTATTGGGGAAAACAGGTTTGTAAAACCGTCACTCAAAGATTTCTACTTTTTTGAGGCACTTCTTATTTTTTCTTTAATCATTTTGAAGTGCAATTTTTTTAGGGCTTCAATATTACACCATATCACAGACACTGATAACACGTAGGGCTGTGTATCTCAGATTTAACATTGTTAAACGATCCCTTTAACTTCTAGTATGGTCTTTAGACACGATTGATGAAAATTCTTGGCAATATAAGGTATTTTTTTAAAATCTTGGCCCTGTCCTATACAGGGAAACAAATATTAAACACATTTTGGGGGCTACTTTTCACGCTTGCTTGCATGAAAATAACATTGTTTAATTTGTTTTGCATTGAACTCTATGCAAAAAATTTTGGGTTCTTTTATGACTTTCGGGGCTACTTCGCCTTGAGCCCCCGTGTATTTTTTCCCTGGCCCTATAAAGAGTTGCTATTGATCCGATATCATTCTCTAGTCCTCCAACCACTCGCAAGTTTACAGTTCCATATCTCTCATAATGTACCTAGTTGCGATTGATATCAATCGTAAATAAGTTGCGATTAATCACAATTGTTTAGAAGACAGCGCCCTATGTCTTTTGTACAGTAATTTTTTTTTTTTAATAATGTGAATTTATTTGAGGCATATTGCATTGAGGGAAACAATACCATCTAATGAAGTTAATCAAAAGTTACATAAACATTAGACTCTGTTGAGTCTAAATGTTTCATCTATAAGAAAAGTTTCTTCTTTAGAAAATTATGACATAAACAAGTCCAAAAAATGTTTGTGATAAAGTAAGAATAGTAACAACAAAACAAAAAACTTCACAAAGGAGATGAAGCAAGTGAAGGTTGCAGAAAAATTATAGTGGAAAATGTAGAGAGAAAGAAAAAAGAGGGAAAGGCTAAAACACAAGATCAAGTGGTAGAAAATGTTGAGAAGAAAATGAAATACTATTGTAAGCAAGTTTGTATGTGTCTCACCTTTGAGTCAACATAATATGAATTACCTACCTTATGGCACTCACTAGAAATGACAAACTAAAAACATGATCCTCTGAATCCAAAAGAAATATCTGATGATTAAACTGGAAAATGAAATACATGAATAAATAACCCTACCTTCAGGAGCATTGGGCGGTTTGTTCTTATAGCAGAGGATCTTTGAATTCATCAGATCTCCGTTTAGGTTCTCGGCCATTGCCTTCTGGTACTCCAGCTTGGATGGGCTCATCATCAGGGCGGGGTCTGTGTTCTCCCCAATATTGGTTGACTGGTCCTGGAGCTTGAAGTTACCCAGGTCAAAGTTTGTTGCACTCCTGTTGGGAATGAAACGATCTCCGCCAGGGGTCCTCGTTGGGGTCTTTGATTTCCCTGTGGGAGAAATAAGAGTGAAAGATACAATTGGCAATGTCTTGACAAAGCTAATCAGGCTTGTTTTATTTAAACGATTGAATCTACTCTGGTACCTATTTCCTATCCAAATTTTAAATGGAGATATTGCCCTACAAGCATCGATGGATTAAAGTAAGTAAGTAAGTAAGTATACTTGAAGACTAAAGCCTATATATGCCATGTATACTAGTACTACCCCCATTTCTATTGGTCATTTTATATTCCTGGCACCCAAATTTTAAAAATTGATTCAACAATAATGGTAATGATAACAAAGATAAAGCCTTCTCCTCTGCCTTCAGATTTAATGGAAATTATTCCCCAAATAGCACTTACTATAATGAATATTTGTCTTGCAAAATAATATTGTCCAACATAAGCCTTAATATTACAGTAAACTTCTACAAATTCAAAATCTGGATACACAACTGTCTGGACAGATAATGTCTGGGTAGTGGGTATACAACCAATTTTCCCATGATGTTCCTATGATGTTCCTGATCTGAGGCTCTAAGGGAACCCCTGTAAGTACACCCTCACAAGATTATACCTGTAGGCCTACATTAACATGCTCCTTCAAAACTATTGCTCCACAGTAAATTTCTATCAGAATTCCTACCTTCATTCTTCTATCTATCCAACACTAACATTGACCCTAAACGTTACTGGAGATCCCAATCTCAATCCAGATTACTTTAGATGAAATACAGTACAGAACAAATGTCAGATCACCCCTTGAATGTAAGATGGAGAGTACAGGTATAACTCACTCCAGCAAAGCATAGAGAGTCAATGCTAATGCGTATTGACCTCTAGCAATGCATACTTGCATAGAGGCAGGTATTTTACACAGATATGCACACCATACACTATCGCATAGACTGCACACAAAAGCACCTATGAGGCTGATCGGTAAATTTGACATTAGACTTACAATTTGAATTTTTAAATTATACTTTTTAACATCAGTAAGTTGAAAAAATTGTATTTTACTGCTATTTAGGTGTCATTAATTGTCACTAAAGTACCGATTTTTAGTGAAATTAGTTGAGTTTTGTACAGTGGTGTTTGAAATGTTGAGAATCAATAGCACAGCTTTTACTACACAGCCAGGATAGTGATGCAGCTATGTGTGGTACAACTAACCTTTCCCTGGTGTTTTTGATCTGATGGTTCCTCCTGGGGTCTTGGAAGGCGTTTTGGCAACACCGAAGGATCTGTTGGACATCTTCATGGGCGACATGGAGCTGGTATTGAGGCTCTTGTTCATGGAGACATTCCCGCAGCTGCTGACTTCCTTGGCTTTCCTCTGCCATCTCATGTCGGGTCCACCCGTGGGACCGTCCAACTTGGTCAGCTTCTCAATCTCAGAGTAGAAGTGAGACATGGCTGATGCCTTGGAAACCGATCTCAGCTACGCTAGATAGAAAGTCAAAGCAGAAACAAAGAAATATTAAAAATGGTAAACTTTGGTATAGATCAGTCTCTTTCATACAAACCATTTCTTCTTAAAAACACAATGTCCAAATTAAGGCTGTGCACAACAGACTTCAGTGTAATGAGGTACCCGAGTACACTCCCAGGCTCACAAGCGAATACTCGAATATTCGGACGCCATGTTTTTTTATAATTTTTTTGAATTTTTTTAAAATTTTTTGATTTTTTGATTTTTTTGATTTTTTTTGATTTTTTTGCCACTACCATACCACTTGGCAGTTTTCCAGGTCCTTCGCCGAAAACGCATGCAATTTTACTTTGAGTTGCAGTTGAAGGCACCGATTTAATAAGAATAATAACAGTATACAATGCTGTTTTAAAAACCAAAGATGGCAGAATAATCCATTTTCCTCCAAGTCCAAACAGAAATCTGGACATTTGGTCGCAGTTTCTGAAAGGTGAGTTTGACAATGCTTGAGTTGGGAAACATTTTTACCGATGGTACCATGCCAGCGGTCGCCGCTCTCCCTGGCACGGGTAAGCGTGGGCCTGGACATTTTTTTTTTTTTTTTTTTTTGCGGCCAAATATTCGGGTACGAGAAATTGTACCCGAGTAGTTGTCAACCGTGCGGGTACTCGAGCATTCGACTACCCGTCGCAGCCTTAGTCCAAATCCCATATAAAGAAATGTCATGAAATGGGGGAAATCTATCAAACTAGCTAGCTGCATGGAATAAGTTAGCATGGAAGTGGTAGCCATGGCCGGGCAATCCGGGCATATCTTGTGAAAATTATATTGTTCTGGCTTCAATTTTGACAAAATCTTTCGGCACAATTATGCTAATAATAATTTAATATTATATAAAGTTAAATTAGATCTATATATATAGATCCATATAGACAGAGAGAGAGAGAGCGGGTGTAGACCTAGGATTAGGGTGTCTGAACGATATTTCAATTTTCAATTTGGGATCGTTTGTCACCATTTTTGTTTAATATTTGAATAAAAAATGTTATCAGAATAATACATTTCAAATTTCAAGTCTCACCGATGTTTCTATCAAAAGATACAGCCCCTCCAAAACGCGGGTATATTCATATCATTTTGGTCAAAATCGACAAAAAAGACGTCCACGCAGAGTGATGTTGTTTTGCTAAATTCAGACAAACAGCTGTATCGCGCGATATGCAAGCGTATGCATATAGTACGCATGTTGCTAAGCCAATGTGCGACTTGCAGCTTGAGCCACGCTGTCTCCGCGATATGTGCCATTGACTAGTATGGGTGGCCGTTCACGCCATTGACTATTACGTGTATTCACTTCCGGGTTCTATGGCGCGAACGACCATCCATACTTTCATTCACTATAATGTGTAATTGAATTTGGGGTTTCGTTCGTACGCGGAGATGTTACGCGATGTAACCATGGTTTGGACTGAGCGGAGCGTACGCCCCCTAATTAGCTGATCCACCAAATAGCGAGAAGGGTATTTTTAAACTGTTATCAGTTGTGATCCCTGGGGGCTAGCGAAAATATAAGCACATAGAATTGTTCCTTAGGACTGGGACTACTTATCGATCGGGGCGTCATATCTCAAAAGTGACAAACCTCAGAGTTAGCCAGGACACAATGTTTAAATTGCTGTTTTGACCAAGATATTTTTAGAATTTCGGGGGCTACGCCCCTTTGGAAATATTGGAATTCACCTGCTCTTTCATATGACACCTCATTTATTGAGTACCACCTTCAGGATCACAACAGATAAAGGTTTGAATCTCGAATTGAAAAAAAAAAATTGACTTTTTTCGCATGGTCGCGCAATGCACGTAGACTGCATAGGGATGCGTGTAATCTCTATGGGAAGAATTTTAGCACACAACATCGGGTGCGCGATCAGACACCCTACTAGGATGGCAAATACTGGTTAATGCCATCAACGACTTCTTTGGACCACTGCATGTATATGAACGGACTTGATTAACGGTCAGCGCGCGCTAGCATTCACGAAACAGACCAAAGTTCTCAATCCTCAGGCTTCGGTATCGCGTATGTTGCACGCACATGAATACTGCGGTTCGAGGTCGCGTTGTCCTTAAGTAGCATTACACCCGCGATCGGCCCTTAATCAGGCCACAGCTAGGAAACGCAGTCTCTTCATGCTACAAGTACAACCCCTTGAAAAATAATAACTTGTGTTTTTGAATACTGAAAATTATTGAAAATTACATAGCAATTGTTATGAATGATTCTTGCTTGTTTTTTGACAAAATATAGATCTATAGATATAGACTCTAGATCTAGACTAGATCTAACAGTTAGACCCTAGAGGCTAGATCTAGATCTATGGCACAATTACACTTTCTCTTCACAGACTTTAGAATAGACCCTAGTCTACATAAATAAGAAGGTCTACCATCTCGCCTTTCAGCTTCTACTTTTTTTTTAGCCCGACTTTCAACATTCAACAAGACAAGAAGTCTGCACTGCACTGCACACAACTCGCACTGCACTGGCCATCACTGCCAACTGACACATGTACACAATTGACAAGACACACGCCGACAAATTTGTGTTGAAATTGAATGCGTAACTAGATCTAGATCTAGAGTTAAATTCCATTAGTCTATATCTGAGCTGAGTAACGTGAATAAATTAGGTGCAAATTATTCGAGAAACTTACCTAGACCTATACAGAATAGAAGATATAAGCAATCAAGGTCTTTCGAATTTCGAAATCAGCTGATGGCTTTTCTTCACATTCACGGGCGTGTTGTTTTGATTTGCGTTTGCTTTTTGCATAATGCACGACATTTAAACCTGCCGCGTTGTGATTGGACAAACCATTCGCTGCCTGTCATTCGGCGCATGCTGATTGGATGAAGAAATCTACAGCATCGTTGAATATTTATGAGAAAAATATACAAATATAGCAATTCCTAATTAATCTTATATTTTGTCACAAATAAATAACAATAACTAGGCCTAAGTATTTATATTTTTGTTAACTTTTAAAAGTAATTTTTAGTCTGATTATTAAAAAAAAAGAGGTAATAGACTATTCAACAAATGATTTTGAGCCTAACATGTCAGCCTCCATGCACCATACCAATGTTTGATGACAAACTAGATCTAGCTTAGTCTACACGTCAGATCTACACAGTCAAGATCAAGATGGGTTTTCAAGCTTTACGATTGTTATTTCTTGTGAATATCTTTATGACCTGGCATGTAGATTATTGCCATGGAAGAAGAGAGTGGCATGACAATTTCTACGATTTTACAGTGAAAAACATCGAAGGGAAGCGGGTTCGCCTGGAAAAGTACCGTGGCACGGTAAGTACTCTCGTCGGATTCCTGGCCCGTCAGCGCGGCGTACATGGCGATGCATTGCCGCTAGAGTCATGCGCCGTGCCGAGCTGAGCTGAGGCAGGTAGCAGGTAGTTTCTACGGACGAGCCAGCGCCAGGCCATGGCCAAGGGTAGACCGAAAGCTTCAGTCTCTATAATCGTCGGTTGTTCCACTGATACCCCATTCACAGTGGTTTTGAAATTTGTAGCGGCGTTGTAGCGGAGCGGCGACACCGCCATAACACCGCTACAAATGCAATCACAGTAGAAAAGTTATCCCGCTGCAGCAGCGGGATAAATATCATGTACCCATTCACGCTGCAGCGGGTGATTTTTATTACCTCCGTAACAAACACGTGTATGCATGGCTCATGACCCGCGAGTGACCCCGATATGACCGGAAATACTTGCTTGAAATTGCGCGGTAAACATGTCAAGTTGCTTTTTGTATCCTCGATCATATTACTTTTTAAAAAACTAGCATTTTTATTGCTTCCAGTCAGAATATTTTAATTTTTTGAAGTGTGAAATATTTTTATTTGGATAATTATAATACCTACATAATAATAAAATCAATTTGAATCCACTGGTTACTTTATTTCTATTTCACTTTATGTTCCCCATTGCTGTAGAAAAGAGGTCAGTGATAGGTAAGTAAACAAATCACACGTGTTTGTCGCGGTGTTATAGCGGAGAGCCTTCACACTGAGTAAACACCGCGACAGCAGCGGGACTGTCCGGCTGCTGTAGCTAGGCGTCCCTAGCGATAGTTTGTGTCGGCGTTATCGCTAGGCGGTGTTATCCCGCGATAGTTTATAACGGGTCCGAGCCTTCACACTGAAGACAACACCGCGACAGCAGCGGGACAGTCCCGCTGCTGTCGCGGTGTTTGAGGCCACTGTGAATGGGGTATGAGACTACGTCTGGCTCCACTAGACCTCCGGTTATAGAGACTGAACGATCGCCTATGGTAGGCAAATTCATGCAAAAAAATATATTCAAAAAGTTGACTTGAAAACACATCAGACAATTAGTCTAAACCGAGTCAGGAGCAGATTTGAAGAAATTATATTTTTAAATGTTGTAAAACCGAAGATATAAGAAGAAAACTGACCAAGTATATGTACTAAAAATCGTACATGTAAAATTGGTCGTACACATTCGACAGCTCTAAATGACGCGCACGGTTGCGTTACGTGCGTTCTCGAATCCAAAATCAAACTTTACACACACACTCTCACCATACCGCGAATGGTCCGTCGTGGGGAGCTAGCCGGCTGAGAGTTTGCAGCGATACCAACGCAGCTTCGGAGCTCCGCAGCGCACCATTTTAGCGGGACTCAGAAAGGTTTCGCGGCCGGGAAGGCAGCGGCCTAGCTTTTTGCCCAAACAACGCTAGATCGGCTGCTGGCAAAATGAAAATAACTACGATCGAGAACATCGTCGGTTTCTTAACTTTTCAGTGAGATAATTCTGAATTCTAATTGAGACTATATAAAAAATTAAATCGACAAAGAAACTTCTGTAGAACTCTTATAACTATACAAAAGCTTGTTTATTTCTTCATTTGACATTTTGTTTTTGACCATTTTTTTCGTGCGCGAGTCAATGCAAACTATGTATTGCCAAACTTTTAACACGCAAGGAACGGGGAACACTCGCGGACCTCGTAACAAATTCGTTGCAAAAAAAAAAAATCAAGGGTGATTTTGAAGCAGTGAAGAATATTGGCGCTGCAATGCGCAGAAATATACTTGAAAGAAACTTAAAAAATAATACCTGAATTTTCAGAAAATCGTATTTGTATTAGTGTACATAGATGTGAATTGTTTATAACTCAGATTTTATATAATAATAATAATAATAATAATAATAATAATAAAAACGTTACTTATAAAGCGCTTACCACCGAAGTCTCTAAGCGCTATACACACAAAATAGACTGATATACAATTACATCTTTAATATACAAAACTAAAAATGCAAATAAACCTACAAATAACAATACATATGGAATACACATCAAAGTGAACAGAGATAATTAATCATCGAACGCAATTTTGAATAAATGTGTCTTGAGACTAGTTTTGAATAGGTTAACGGTTTGACAGTTTTTTACATTTAAAGGTAATTTGTTCCAAAGTTCAGCAGAAGCTTTGCGAAAGGAGCGATTTTATGAAGATTTGTCGGGAAAAAATGTCAATTTTTTCCGTTTGGTGGTCATTTCTAGGCTAATATTTTAAAAGTTACTTCAGTAATGGTCCCGATGTTTCTCTTATCATACTCGCATATTATTCCTACATAGATTAAACATAGGATGGTTAAGGGTAAGACCGGATAACATTATAAAAAAGATATATCCTTCCAACCTCCCATATCCAAGTTTTGGGCTGATTATTGCCGACCCACCGCAGCAAGGCCATTCAGATTTTCGTACGCGACCGAAGCGCCCTCTAGTGCCCCATGAATGTGGCTACCTATGGCTATACCATCGTATGTTGAAGATATCATGGCTAGATTCCCGGCCCCCCCACTCAGTGTTATTTAGGGTACGCATATGCTCGTACCCTCTTTTTGAAAGCACCCCCTATCTGAGGACTGCCAACATTTCCGAACCCCCCTTTCGCGGGCTTTTTGCGGGCTTTTCCTGCCTTGGAGACCCCCCTAAATCAGGAAAAATGCTCAATGTACCCCCCTAAATTCGGAATAATTTCTCAGGATTGTAAAGAGATGGGAGAAAAAAAGAAAAACACCCCCTTTTTAAAGAAATCTCCGGTTGAAAAGTCAAATACACCCCTTTTTTTACAAATCTCGGGCCGGACTTTGTCGCACGAAAAGTACCCCTTTACCGGACATTTTGGCAACACGCATGCGGTCATTCCGACCTCTGAGTGGGGGGGCCGGGGCTAGATTTCAGCCGCTAGGCCCCTCCCACAAACATGACAAACTTGCCACGGCCGTATTGTTATGCCCCCAAAATGTCATTTTACCTCGTCCATATCCAATTTTAAATTAGACCTAGATCTAGGCTATAATACATCGGTTCTGTCTCAATATCTGCATACATGAATATTTATGTTCCACGTTATGACCCCTGACCCTGGGGCAGATTATAGGCATTCGCTACGTGTATCGTAATCATGTCTGACGTCTGAGTTATTTCGTGTACTTTGTCAGTAAGATACCAGCTATTGTTACATGGTGGCAGCGGATCAGCAATGGCTGGAAGTCAAGTGAGTGTTACTCCCCCTCCCCAACTGAAATTGAGGGAGGATAAAGTGGAAGAATGGAAGCTATTTTGCCAACTTTGGGAGAACTATCGAATAATCACCGAACTCCACGCAAAGACAAAAGAGTATCAGAGAGCGGTATTCCTCAACACGGCGGGACCCGAAGCTCTCCGCGTGTTCAACTCGCTTACGTTCAACGCGTTAGCGGACGGCACCAGAGAAGACGAGTATGACATTACGCTTATTATGAAAAAGCTGACAGACGTCATCGTCGGTGAAAGAAACGAGACATATGAGAGGTACGTCTTTAATAAGAGAGAGCAGAAAGAGACAGAGAACATTGACACGTATGTAAACAATCTTAGAGAGATGGTGAAATCTTGCAACTTTGGAGAATTACAAGAGTCATTGCTCAGAGATCGAGTGGTCCTGGGAATAAGGGATCATGGCACGAGAAGATTACTACTACAAAAACGGAAACTGACTCTGTCACAAGCCATTGATATTTGTAGATCAGCTGAGGCAACTGCTTCTCAACTAAGAGAATTGGGGGAAGAGTCTAGAGATAGTGTACATGGCGTCAGGCCAAAACCAAGAAGATCAGATGTGAGAAAGAAAGATGTGAGGAAAGAGAGTCACAAAAGATGGGAAACGACCATACAGTGTAAATACTGCGGAAAAAAGCACAGGAAGATGAAGGAAGAGTGTCCCGCATACGGAAAGAAGTGCAACAAATGCCAAAAAATGAATCATTTTGCATGCTGTTGCAACACGAAGTCTATCCGAACAGTTGACTATGAGGAGTCTGAGTACTCTGAGACAGACTCAGAAGTAGAATCTGTCAACTGTGTTGAAGTGGTAAACGCAACCTCGAGCAACAGTACAAAGAAACCACTGTACGCAGAGATGATGATTGATGATAACCCAGTGAAGTTCCAAATAGATTCGGGAGCGACGGTCAATGTAATACCGAAAAAGTATGTGAAGTCAAAGATTGACACAAGAGACGCTGAGCTTCGAATGTATAATGAGACAACCCTGATGGCGGAGGGACGAGTGAAGATCATCCTGCGTAACCCGAAAAACAAGAAGAAATACAGAGTGGACTTCATGGTCGTCAAGGAAAACAACCGTGTTCCATTGCTGGGTAGAAATACATCCGAGAAGATGAAGCTCATCAAGGTGAATTATGACACATTCAAGCAGATACATAGTGTAAAGAAGAAGGGAGAATCTGAGCTCCTCACAGAATATGAGGATGTGTTTGATGATGCAAGGCCAGGAAAGTTGCCAGGACTGGTACACTTAGTTACGGATCAGGCTAGAGATGTGAGACCTACACAGTGTAACGCAAAGCCTGTGCCAGTATCCATGAAGGAGAAGGTAAAGAAGGGCCTGAATGATCTCGTTCAGCAGGACATCTTAGCTCCTGTTGATGAACCAACTGATTGGTGCAGTCGGTTAGTGGTTACAGAAAAGAAAGGGACCAAAGAACTGAGATACTGCATCGACCCTAGACCACTTAACAAGGTGCTACAAAGGGAAATACACCGCTTACCAGTTATGGATGATATCCTCCCAGAATTGTCTAAGGCCAAGGTCTTCTCCAAGCTTGACCTTAAGTCTGGATATCTACATTGCGAGCTAGACAAAGAGAGCAGCTACTTAACTACCATAAACACACCTTTTGGAAGATATAGGTGGAAACGGCTGCCATTCGGTCTCAAGGTCAGCTCGGAGATTTTCCAAAAGAAGCTGCAACAAGCCCTGGCAGGACTTGAAGGAGTAGAATGTGTGGCTGACGACATAATTGTGTTTGGAGTAGGGTCCACAGACGAAGAGGCAGAGGGAAGCCATGATCAGAGACTGAGGGCTCTCCTTCAAAGGTGCAGAGAAAGAGGAATAAAGCTAAACCAGAAGAAGTCTGTACTAAAAGCACCCAGCGTGACATTCCTAGGGCACATCGTCAGTGCAGAGGGCCTCAAGCCAGATCCATTGAAGATAAAGGCCATCATAGACCTACCCAATCCGACTGATGCCACAGAGGTACAGAGAGTGCAGGGGAGTGTACAGTACCTTGCTAGGTTCCTCCCCAGGTTATCAGAGACATTTGAACCCATTCGCAAACTTACACACAAAGGAGTACCTTGGGAATGGAAGGCAGAACAGGAGACAGCCATGAAGGAGACTAAGCGACTCCTGACAGCAGCACCCATCCTAGCCTTCTACGACCCAGAGAAAGAACTGGTGATCCAATGTGATGCAAGCAAGTCAGGTCTCGGATCTACTCTTCTACAGGAAGGAAAACCTGTTGCATATGCTAGCAGAGCACTGACGGAGACTGAACAACGCTATGCGCAGATTGAGAAGGAGGCCCTAGCAATTGTGTTCTCACTTGAGAGGTTCCACCAGTACACATTCGGGAGGCATGTAAAGGTGCACAGTGATCACAAGCCGCTAGAAACAATTGTAAAGAAACCTCTACATCGAGCTCCTAGAAGACTACAAGGCATGCTCATGCGAATGCTCCACTACGACATTGAGATAACTTGGGTTAAAGGTAAAGATATGCACATCGCAGACCTACTCTCAAGAGCATATCTACCAGAAACCACAGGAGCAGGTGACTTTGCAGAGGTCAATGCAGTCACAGGTCCAAGCATGAATGAGGACAAGATTAAGGAGCTAGCTGAACACACAAGTAAAGATGAGAATCTACAAATCCTCAAGGCAGTCATCATGCAAGGCTGGCCAGAGGAAAAGTCATTGGTACCTGAAGAAGCTAAGCCATACTACCACGTGAGGGACGAACTTTCCTACCAGAACGGACTTCTGTACAGAGGGGAACGTATAGTCATACCAGTGACAATGAGAAAAAAGATGAGGGAAATGTTACACGACTCTCATCTAGGGGTAGAGAGCTGTCTTCGCAGAGCACGTGAATGTCTGCACTGGCCAGGTATGAACGCGGATATTAAGACATTCATATCTACATGTGACGCGTGCAGAACATATGAACGACAGAACCAGAAGGAGACACTACAGCCAACAGAACTCCCAGATCGCCCATGGGAGAAAGTAGGGGTCGACCTCTTCGAGCTGAAGGGTAAACACTACTTAATCACAGTAGACTACTTCTCTAACTTCTGGGAAATAGATCGCCTCCATGAACTAGACAGCAGAATGGTGATCAAGAAATTGAAAGGTCATTTCGCTAGATACGGAATCCCTAACACGATCATTTCGGACAACGGTCCCCAATTCGCCTCAGAAGCCTTCGTGAAATTCAGAAAGAAGTGGGAGTTCGACCATCTTACAATTTCACCCAGGCATAGCCAGACAAATGGCAAAGCAGAAGCAGCCGTCAAAGCTGCAAAACAGATGATAAGAAAGAGTGAGGCAGCACACACTGATCCCTACAAGGCACTCCTGGGGATCAGGAACACCCCACAACAGGGTATCGACAGCAGCCCAGCTCAACGACTTCAAGGAAGACGAACGAGAACGACACTTCCATCGACGGATCATCTCCTGAAACCTCGAGGCGCAGAAATCTTGAAAGAAGAAAAGCGAAAGATGAAAGCTCAACAGCGAAAGCAATCGCACCACTACAACAAGAACTCAAAGGACTTGACCACCCTACAAGAAGGAGACACAGTCAGGTTGAAGCCTTACAAGCTAGGGGATCATGTATGGCAAAAAGCGGTCGTGTTGACAAGACTGGATGAACGATCCTACGAAATAGAGACTGAACTTGGTCAACGATTTCGGAGGAACCGTAAGGACTTGAAGAGAACTGATGAATTACCTCATCACCAACAGAGCAATCCTAACCCAAATCCTAACCCCAAACCTAATACTAACACCCAAGCTCCACAAGAAACTATGGCAGACAAACACTCCACAACACAAACAAACACAACACGGAAAACAGACCGTGGTCACAAGAAACACAAAGAGTCTGAACCAAAGACTAACAGAGATCAACAAACTACAAACAAAAGACCAGACACAACACAAACAACAGGAGACAACACAAGAAAGACACGATCTGGTAGAGAAGTAAAAACACCATCACTTTATAGTGATTATGTCCTTAAGTGAGCATTCATTCCTATAATGTGACACTACAGGCTATGTTACCCACCTACCATCATTTATTCTTATGTGACATTACAGGCTATGTTACTCATTTATCATGTGTTTATTTTTATCATGTGACATTACAGGCTATGTTACTCATTTATCATGCATTTATTTTTATCATGTAACATTACAGGCTATGTTACTCATTTACCATGCATTTATTTTTATCATGTAACATTACAGGCTATGTTACTCATTTACCATGCATTTATTTTTATCATGTGACATTACAGGCTATGGCACTATATACTGCATGTAATTATTTACAAATCCAAGAACATTTGTTGAACCTTTTACATGTTAAAGCAAATTATTGCTTGTTTTAGATCACAGAAAAAAGGGAAGATGTATCAAGGAGATAACATTCTTGATGATGTTTCATATGTAGTTATTTTGCTTTATTATACTCGTGTTGACGAAGCAGTCCAAACAATTAATGGTGCATGTACATTGTTACACAAAGGAGACAAGGCTGGAAATATCAGGTCTACATAATCAGTGGTTATTGTAGTTTCAGTCAATATCAGTAGTTATTGAAGACAACTCAAGCCAACCCAAGATAGTCAGTTTTGGACCTCTGGAAGTCATCAAGCTAACAAACTACAGCTGAATGAAGAACGTTTACATTTATACTTGATATGTCAAGTCCAGTTTACAGTATAAGAAACTCAAAAACAACTCAATGTAGAACACACTATTGATGCACTTGTATTTTTGAGAAATATTATGCTCATGCCATGCTTAATGTTAGAACAAGACAATGTATTAAGAAACTACTGCAGTACGACAATGAAAAGTATCTTATGCACATCATGCTATGTAACATGAAGCAAGTCTGAATTCAAAGACTATAATATTAGCTTTCAAAACAAAACAGAGAGGATGTCTCAATATCTGCATACATGAATATTTATGTTCCACGTTATGACCCCTGACCCTGGGGCAGATTATAGGCATTCGCTACGTGTACCGTAATCATGTCTGACGTCTGAGTTATTTCATGTACTTTGTCAGTAAGATACCAGCTATTGTTACAGGTTCCACTTACTCACTTGATTGAAATAATCCGTTTAATGGTCCCTTTTAAGGAAATTATGGGTCAAAATCGACATCCATGTTGAAAATCTTGCAAGCCGTGTTAAACTCTCGCTGCCGTCAATCTCATCCCTTCTAGTCTACGCCGAAGGCAAAATGATTATGAAGGAAAAACTGTGCGCCATCTACACGTTTGAAATGGCGTTATCACAGTTATCACGGCAGCGAGAGTTTAACACGGCTTGCAAGATTTTCAACATGGATGTCGATTTTGACCCATAATTTCCTTAAAAGGGACCATTAAACGGATTATTTCAATCAAGTTAGTAAGTGGAACCGATGTATTATAGCCTAGGCCTAATTTAAATTTAAAATTGGATATGGACGAGGTAAAATGACATTTTGGGGGATTTTGGGGGCATAACAATACGGCCGTGGCAAGTTTGTCATGTTTGTGGGAGGGGCCTAGCGGCTAAAATCTAGCCGTGATATCTTCAACATACGATGGTATAGGTGATCGTTCAGTCTCTATAACCGGAGGTCTAGTGGAGCCAGACGTAGTCTCAGTGAAACAACCGACGATTATAGAGACTGAAGCTTTCGGTCTAGGCCAAGGGTAGACGTGAGCTGAACCAAATAACAATAACACTAACACCAGAAGCAATTGTTTGTTTTGTTTTGGTTTTTTATCCAGTTTTTTGAGAAAAACAATAACTACCAGACTACAGTCTATTGGCAAGACTTTGTTGCCCCGACGGAGATCTAAAAACATTTATTATCGGCAAGACTTTGTTGCCCCGACGGAGATCTAAAAACATTATGACTTCATTGAAATGACTGAATGCTTGAGAAGTTACACACATGTAAAAATATGTGAATTTTCAAAACGGTTAAACGAAACTGCCCATATACATTTAACGATTAAACGTTTAGCACAAAAACCATTAAGACTCAGGCCTATTCTAAATTATTTCAAATCTAAGTTCTATCTGTTCTATCTGTTCAACTATTTTATCTGTAAATATATGATAGATCTAGATCTAGTCAATACAATAGTCGATAGTCGTACTGTAAAAAAACAGGCTAGTAAATTACTGCCACAAATAGCAGTAGATCTGACCATGGAAGAATTCTGGATCGATGAACAGGCTTAGAACAACAACATTGTGTGGTAAAGTAAAGTATGAAACTACTGTATTAATACTAGTAATTAGTATAAATTTGTATTATTTCTGAAAAGTCTTCATGCGATACCCATAATAATTGTCATGATTGTTGATTGTTCTATACTTCTATTTGTTCTTACTAATAAATTAAAAGGCAGTAATTTGTTTCCTTATCTGTCACTGTTACAGCCATCTCTTGTTGTGAATGTAGCCAGTGACTGCGGCTACACCGACAGGACCTACCGCGACCTTGTGGACCTCAGCAAGGACCCACAGTTCGAAGATCGTCTCAACATCCTGGCGTTTCCGTGTAACCAATTTGGCCACCAGGAACCACAATCCAATGAGGAGATTAAACACTACGTCAAAGCCTTGTACGATGTTGAATTCCCTCTCTTTGCCAAAGTAGAAGTCAAAGGATACGATGCGGATCCAGCCTGGCAATACCTGACATGTAAGTCACATCATAGACCTGGGATCCGTTTCACAAAGTCTTTTTTCAATGACAAATGACTAAAATCAGTGACAAATCTGCTGATAACAAATCAGAAGCAAGGATTTCATTTGCTTATAACCAAAACTGTCTTTGTCACTGATGAAAAGTTCTGTGAAACAGGGCCCTGGTCACATCTTGAAACTTGAAATATAAGGAGGGGATATGTGAGGGCAACAGGCTATAAAGTGTTGCCCTTTGATGTTCTTTTTTCTGTGTGGGAGGGGAAAACTAGATAGAAAAACCTGTCTGTTTTCCTTTTATAAAAAAAACATATTTTGTTGTTTGACACTACAGAGAAGCCAGATTTTTCAGTCTATGGGGGAAACTTGCCTCTAATCTACAATTTTTATGTTGATTTTAAATGTCCGAGTAAGAGTAATAGTGTTGACAATCTTCAAAAGCATTTGGTGTAAAATAAAACACATAAGATCAGAAAATAGCTTCCTTTTCTTCCATGTGTATGGACGTTGTTGTGTCTAGTGGATAAGTCACCGTACTGTGGGTCACATGGTTCTTCGTTGAGTCATTAAAAGACATTTGCCACTCTCTACCCAGGCATAGTAAATGGATACCTGACAGGAAGTTATTCCTTAAATATAACCATACTTGTAAGCACCGTAGGATGGAAAGTGCGCAATATAAATGAAGCCAATAGGCTATTTTCAATTTTATTATTATTATTATTATTACTATCATTATTTTTGATGCTGTTGTTATTATTAAAGGTAATACAAAGTTTTGGTATGGGGTCATGGATTTGGTTCAAATAAACATATTGGAAGCATATGCAATCCTACAATATTCAGTGATCATCGTCGCGGTTGAAATCAAGTCTAAAGTTATGAAATTGTAAATAATACACTCTTTATGTTGTATAGCTCCCTCTCAAGGTCAATATATTAATTAAGCTATAAAACAATGTCTCTTGACTAAAATCCACCGATTAGCTATTCCTGTTTGGAAATTATATATCACAACTACATATTCTGAGATTTTCATGGTCGGCAGCTACCATTGTACGGCCGTAAGCGCTATTTGAAATTTATCAAAATTTACCAGGAGCACCGGTAAATTTTTATATTCAATTTTTCTCGAAACCAGAAGTGTTTTAGGGGCTAAATTTTCTAGTGCTTATAATACATCCACAGGAGCATCCAAATATATCAAAATTGTAGAGAATCACTATCCACCCAATTTTCAAAATTTCCCAAAACTTTGTATTACCTTTAACAAGAACAACAATAATATACTAATAATAATTGATATGATTGTTTGATAGATTGATTGACTTATTTATTCTTATAGCAAATGCTCATCAAGAGCCAACCTGGAATTTCTGGAAGTTCTTGGTTGATTCCGAGGGGAAGGTCAAAGATGCCTGGGGTCCGGACGTTCCTATCCACAGCATCTACGGGGAGCTGCTCAACGAAGCACTTATGGCCGACCCCTACCACTACCACCACGCCCACTTTGATGATGAGTTCTGAGCAGGAGACGGAGTCTATCAAAGAATGGATGAGAGGATAAGAGGATGATGAAGATCTACGGCTTCTTCTTTCGCTCGTATGTTTGCACTTGTTCCTCTGGTTCGATGTAAATGTGCAAATGTTGGTATTGTGTACATGTGGAGCACTGGTGGTAGGTTGTCTGCATTCGTTTTTTGGTTGATTAAGACAGTGAATGGATGAAATGAAAGAAGAAATAAACATTTTTGTAAGAGAAATACTGAAATGGAGAAAGAAAGTTGTCCTGTATTCACAGGCACGAGTCAACACATGTTGAGCAATCATTTAAGGCACCCGAAAGTCACAATTTTCCAAGCCTACCATGCTTTTGTTTCATCGAGAATGATTACTTCTTCATGATTCATGTAAGTCAGGATAAGTACCAGTTAGTTGGAGGACTATGTTATTAAACATAGAAACAGAAATGGTGCTCACTGCTCATGCAGCATGTTGCTATGCACATGCACATATATCTTGGAAAGCACATTCAATGATGACATGCACTTTGTATGCTGTTCCAGGTTCCTAGCTTCACAGAGCACTTGACAAAATCAGTGTTTCAGTAGGACTTGATATCTAAACATTATATTGATATGGTTATTTTTAAAAAATGTGTGAAAACTTCAAATCTACAAGACATATTTCTGTGTCACCTTTCAAATGCAAGAGGGCATGCAGTTCATGGATGAAATAGCTAAAGATCGGGTAGACAGAAAAATCCATCTTCTTGGAGGCTTTGGTGTTTATTTTTGTGACAGTTAAATCATCATTATGTAGAAGAGAGACTGATCTTTTAGTCTAAAGGCAGGGAAGCTTATAAACTTCAGTGTATTTTTATATTTTTCTGTACATGAAGCAAGTAGAGGTGGGAAAAGTACTTGCACACAAAACAGGGTACCCATATCGTCGCTGTTTTCACGAACTGACGGTAGTGAAAAAAAATTGCATTCACTTTGCGTGACGATTTTCCTCACTACCGTCACTTCGTGAAAGTAGGGACGATTTGTGTTTTCACTTTTGGGAGTACTCTTGCAAGGGCCATTTTCAAGAGTACACATGACTATTGACATCCTACTAGGTACCCATTTAAAGACATCGTTTAACAATGTTAAATCTGAGATGCATGGCCCTACATGTTATCAGTGTCTGTGATATGGTGTAATATTGAAGCCCTAAAAAAATTGTGCTTCAAAATGATCATGAAGTGCCTCAACAAAGTAAAAATCTTTGAGTGACCAGTTTTACCATACTCATTTTCCCCAATAGACTGTAGTGTTATGAAAGCTGTTAGGAAAACGAAAAATGAAAACTTGATTTCCGATAATAAATATCTTGATAATCAGACAGGCGATCAGCTTGTAAAAGTCATGGGATTCCTGACTGACCTTAAAGGTATATACAGAGCTGCCAACTAGTACGGATTTTCCGTAATTGGTACGGAAATTAACGACCATTACGGAATGTTGTCTCAAATTACGGATTTAAAAAAAAAAAAAAAAAAAAAAGTTTTTTTTTTTTTTTTTTTTTTTTTTTTTTTAATTTTTTTTAATGAATTAAATATGATTTATCGTAGCGAGTGCTGTGAATAGGAGCCATTTTTCATGATAAACTGTGTTGTGATGACCTGAAATTCAATACTTAACATCTTTGTGTGAGTAAAATCACCAAAAATTTCAGATAATCATGCGTCCGCGCAGTGTTGGCGTGTCGTTTTTTTAGATTCATAGCGCCGCATAAGAAATTACTGATTTATACCCCAAATTACTGATTTTGAGCCTTGTGATTACTGATTTTCTGTTCTGGAGGTTGGCAGCTCTGTATATAATTATGATTGAAGCATGAGCTAAATCCAGGATTTTGTTTCAGAATCTGAGGCAATGTTACTGAGTCACTTTAACACCTGGCTTAAGAGTGGCAAACGTAGATACTTAGATTAATGTCTTGCAAAAGGACATTAGTTCCGTGGTAGGGACTTGAACTGCAAACCATGTAACTCACTGTCCAGTGAGGTATCAACTGGACCACGACGTCTTGTGTGACATTAGTGAAAATGGAGTGTACAATCGCAATATTTTTTAATTCCCTCAAATTCATGTAGTTTATATTGATGCTATCCTATGCCAGATCTTGTCTTTTAAACCACTGACAGGATGATTCAAATGTCTGAATTTATTTAGTCTATTACAGTACTTATATATAACAAAATATAGAAAATTATAAAGTATGACACTTATGTTATAGATCTATGAACTATGGTAATCATGTACTATTATCAAAATGTTTAACTTTTCCTACAAAGATTCTTGCCTTTTTACCAGGTCTTGTATGCCTGGTTTATGCTGCCAAACAGTATTACATTGAAATATACATTTTTTGAGCCAGAAGGGCATTAACTCTGTGTAAAGTGTTATGAGTTAATGCCATTATGGCTCCAAACAGACAATATCGTATTGCATCAAATATAGATGTGATGATATGGTAGTCAGTAAAGTATAGGAAATGTGCTTTTCGTTAGTGACTAAAAATGGTCTGAAATAGATGTATTTAGACCTTGTTTTCAACCCTCTTTTTAAAGATTTAGATGATGTCTTAGCATATTGCTCAATTTGACTCTATACTAGAATATAGGCCTTTGTTAAATTCAGTGGTATGAAATTGAGTTTTGTAATTCTATTAAATGCTCTCTTATATCACATAAGTGTTCTTACAGTGACATATTTGTAGTTTTGTATGGTGCTAAAGATTACATACGGTACTAAAGTTTTTTTAAATTCTATGATGAATACATATATATTTTAATTTTCTTTTTCAATTTTCATAATAATTTGCAAGTATGTTGCATTTTATTGTCAATTGATTAATTATAACTGGAATACATACTAAGAAACCTTTATTTTTTGCTAAGTATACAAACTAGGCGTTTTTATAAATTGTTTAGGATTGGATTCTTTTCTGAAAGTGCTTTTATGTCAATTATACATGTATGATATTAAGATCAACAGACTGAACTATTTGAATGCTAAACACTGCTAATTGTGTGTGTATACGAGTTAGTATTAGACTTAATTGCTGTAGTAAAAAATATACTTTAATCAAAAGCTATATACTGCTCGTTTTACCTGAGACGTTAGTGTGGAAATGAATAAAAGTGTTAAAACAGATTATTAATGCTTTTATATGATTGAAATGACCATGGCTAATTTGATTAATATAACATGTAAATGTCCCACATTTTTTCAATAACCACAAGTTTTAGAACAAGTATAGAGTAACTATTTGAAAGGAAAATCACGAAAATACTCCCGGGCTCATAATTATACGACGTTACGAAGCTAGTTGTCTACTGATTAATTATGTAGGTTATAGTAAATCGTTAGTTGACAACTAGGCTTATTAAGGTTTTATGAATATGGGCCATGATCTTAAGCTACAGTCCCATATACGTCCCGGACCGTCCCGGACCATCCCGGACCCCATCCGGGGTGATCCGGGATTCGGTCCGTGTTGACACCGTGTTGGCACCGGGGTGGTCCTGGATGGTCCTGGGTGGTCCTGGATGGTCCTGGATGGTCCTGGGCGGTCCGGGAGTCGACCCCGGATGTTTTTGACGGTCAAAAACTGCCGGGGTGGTCCGGGACGATCCGGGACAATAGTTTGATCCGGGGTGATCCGTGTTGCCACCGTGCTGGGTCCGGGGTCATCCGTAGTGGCGCCGGGGCGGTCCGTGTTGATCCGTGGCAGTCCGGGAGTGAGTTATTGACCGCCCAGGACCACCCAGGACCATCCAGGACCATCCAGGACCATCCAGGACCACCCCGGTGCCAACACGGTGTCAACACGGACCGAATCCCGGATCACCCCGGATGGGGTCCGGGATGGTCCGGGACGTTCCGGGACGTATATGGGACTGTAGCTTTTAAAGCATCACACTTTTTTGAACAAAACATCCCGGACCATCCCGGATCACCCCAGACCATGGTCCGGGATGATCCGGAGTGGTCCGTGCTCGTCCGTGCTGGTCCGGCTTTATATGGGACTGGGGCTTAAGGATTAGACAAATCTCTTTATGATTGCACTATCACTATTGCTATTCGTATATACTCTCAGGCTTTTTTCATGTAGTGGTCGATATTATATTTTGATTATATTTACTTGGAGAACAACTTGCTTGTGTGAAGTATTCAAATTTTAATCTTGGAACATTTTTGAATGGTCAAAAGTCAAAACCCCCATATATGTTAAAGTATGAAGTTTTACATGTTGTTATTTCTACACGTTTTTATTTCAAATGACATTTTGACACTGCCCTAGTACTACACTGCCCAGTGTATTTTTAGTATATTTTTAAGATGTACAGGGTACTTGTTATAAGAATGTACAGTAGTTGATCCAGAGCTTTGACTATATACTTCTTTCACAGGGCATAAGTTATGAGCATTCCAGTAGTACATACATTATATATCACTATTAGAAAAAGTACCTGTGATCATGTAAATGGAAAATGAATCATATTATGGTGATTGCAGTTCTTGCCAGCTTTTTATACTTAAAAAAGTCGTACTTGTTGTGTGAAACCGATCCTGATGCAAATGGTGCTATTTTTTAAAGCTAGTGAGTATTGTAAACACAAAGTTTTTTCACTGAAATTTGTTATACATGTATTATATATTTTCACTCTATGTTCACAAAAGTTGTTTCTTGTATCCGTCTGTCACTTGATGGTATGTTTTAAATATTTGTTTGTGTGAGTGTGGATATTTTCATGCAGATGTTGATAAAAGATAGTGACGATTATTAACGATATTCATAATACTGATGATTATGATGATGACTACAAAAATGGAAGATAATAATGGTGGTAGTGATGATGATGATGATGATGATGATAGTGATGATGGTGGTGATGATGGTGGTGATGATGATAGTGATGATGATGATGGTGATGATGATGTTGATGATGGTGATGATGATGATGATGATAG